CCCCCCACCACATCCTCTGTGTTTCAGGACAGGCATTTTCTGCTAGATCCACTTGGATATAAACAGCACAAAGGAAGCAATAAGGAAACTCCTCCCTATCCCTTGCTCTAACCACTTCAGACATGCTGCCAGCTTGCTGCAGGGTACAGATTATCACAAATGCTTACCTGGAGAGGCTTCAGCCCTGGTGCATCCATGGCTGTCAGGGAGCAGATGCCCATTTCCATGGAATGCTGCAAATTACAGCTGCTCCAGAGTGCCTGTCCATGTGGTTGCTTTCTGTCCCCTCTTCACAAGTCAGGTAGGCTGGTTATCTATTAAACAGGGAGAGACAGCACCAGCAAGGGAGAGAGGGTGAACACACAGAGGAAATCAGGCAGTTTCCTGTTTGTTTATCATGAACAAAAGCTTGTTTGGCTGGTCTGAGTGTTGCTAGAGGGCTGGCCCAGCTGCTGCGGGGGATGCTGCCGTAGGCTAGAGGAGTTAAACCTGGGGCTGGAGCTGCTCAGCAGGGCACAATGTGCCTCAGAGGTGTACCAGGGCAGCCTGGCACAGGGACTGAACCTGGTACTGCCCGTTAGCCCACTCCTGTGCCAGCTGGTGCTTTCTCTTCCTCACCTGGTGCTTTCTCTTCCTCACCTGGAGACTGTGCTATTGTATTTGCCTTTGTCCACAGCCCACTCCTTGTGTCCCCTGCCCAGGACAGGGTGACCTCCCCACTCATCTGTCCCCTCCGGAGGCTGAGGGACACCCTTTGGTCTCTGCTACCTTTCTCGGGCAGTGAGCAGAGTTGTTGCTGCCATCTGGTGGGAGAGCAGCCTGGCTGTTTGCCTCCACATCTGTTTGCCTTCACCTTCCCTTCTGGAAAAGGTGACCTCTTCACCAGCATCCTTCGTGGTCCACAGCAAAGCTACAGCCTCACCCACAAAACGACCCCTGGAGCATTTAATTAATTAATTAAATAGGAGATTAGATGTTGTCAAATATAGTAAAAGCACCAATATGTGGAAATAGGTGGCAAAATGAAGAACAACTGACCACAGAAAGCCTTCCCCTCCCCAGAGGTAAAGCTTTAGCATGGCTGCAATTCCTAATGAGCTGTAGAAATCCCAACACAACTGAGAACTGTTGTAACTGCAGGAAGTCCTTCAGTCAGCCAGACTTCATTTCAGACTGTGGGAATCCAGGCCCAACAGCCAGAGCAGGAGTCCACTGGCTTTTCTGTTCACAGAAACGCACCTGAAGTTTCTCCACCTCCCTTGAAGTGGTATCATCCCACCGCTTCCCACCTGTGATCCCAGCTTACCTCGGGCTGAATTGTCCTACCCAAAAGGTGTGGCAGGTGGTGATCATGGAGTAGTGTGTCACAGTGGTTGCTCCTCCAGCCCCTTTGCTGTCTCCAAGGACAGGCTGAAGGGGGAAGATCTGCCATTTCTGGAGCATCTCCAGCACCTTTGGACGCATGAGAGTTGCAAAGAGCCTTTGCAGTAGCTCTGCCCTGTGGCTGGGAGCCAGCAGAGCAGCAGGTGACAGGCTCAGGACACCAGGCTGATCAACACAGGGTCCTTGAGAAGACAGACTAGGACCTGCACAACAAAAGTCCCCCCTCTGCCCTCAGTACAAAGCCACATGCCTTGACCCTCTCTCTCATTTCTCCACCCCAGGCTGCACTCCACTTTCACAAGCAAGTTTTTGCTCCGGGATTATGAAAAGCAACAAGGTTGGAAATGCCAGAGGGTGGGGACGCCCTGTTTGTGGGAGCAGCCAGGGCAGCCTGCCTTCCTGCTACCCAAGCCCCGAGCTCTTTCTGTTGCCCTGACAAGCAGAGCACTGAAAGCGAGTGCTCACACCCTACCAACACCTCCCAGCCACTGTCAGGCCAGAGCCAGCAATCTGGGAAGCAGTATATCAAGGAGTTTGGCAGCACCTGAGAAGTTTGGCACAGGATGCCAGGTAGTGCTTACTAGCTGCTGCTCACAGCAGCATCTGTCCAGCAAGCAGAAGGTTGTTCCCTCACTCATTATCCCTGTGCAGCCCACACAAAACCACATCCTGATTTTAGGGTCACCTTTCCCATGTGGAGCCAGCCAGACCATGTGGTTGAGAAGGTTGAAGAGCAGCTATAAACACAATATAATCAAGGGGTTCAGCTGGAACACACCGAGGCAGCTCCTGCTTCAAGAGCAGCTTTAAAATCTGATGAGTTCATGGCAGCTTTAGGCATTAAGTGAGGCAGAGCAGGGGTAAAGGGGCAGTTAACAGCCAGGGAACATTTGTAAAAAGAATTACACCAAAAAGCAAAGGAAATGGTGATTAATCAGCCCCAGAGGCCACTGTTAGAGCCTCGGACACCTCCTCCAGAGAGACTAACAGCAAAAAGCAGCAGGAAATACTCCATGCTCCACTGAAAAGGCAGAACTGGAGGGAGAGGTAATGCAGAGCCAGAGGAGCTGAGAGGGGATTTCAGCCACACTGCTCTGAGCCCAACACCTGGTGCATGAAACCAACGGAGAGAAATGCAGGAAATGCTGAAAGGGCTTTAAAAGGAGCCTTGAGGGAAAAGTGGAAGCTTCCTTAGAAGTGTCTGAAGTGGTAAACCAGGAGAATAAAGAACAAAAAGACTGGCAGGGGAAGAAGTCTGGAAGTTATTTAGGAGTTACGGACCTGACTGCTCAGCTACTTAAAATATTTTGCAAGCTCAGGCACCTCATCACTGCAAGAGTGTTCTCTGCCTGGCAGAAAAAGCAGGAGAGTCTTTGCACTTCACCAGAGGAGAGGACAACCACCCAAAGAGCCTGGGATCCAAAGAGCCCAGCAGCCACTGCAGCTTTCCCAAGGGCTCTGCAGCCCCGAGGCAGTAAGGACAGCCTCCCCAGAGTGTTTATCAGGAGTAACACTACAAGCCCCCTGTCTGCAGGATGGGGTGGGTGTGCCAGGCTGGTACCTTCTGGGAGATTTCAGGCTCCCTGCAGGCTGTCCCTGGTCCAGCACACACCCAGTTCCTTCCCAACAGCTGTGTTGCATCAAAGACACCCCAGATAATGCATGTACATGCAGTAAGTTGACAGCCTGAACTCTGCAAAGAAAGCAATTAAAAGCCCTCACAATAACCTCAAGATATTCCCAGGCTTATCTTGTTGCAGGAACTCTGCCTAAGAATCCTATTTCAAGCTTTTGTCAGGAGCAAGACCCACCTGCCTGTGTTAAGTGACTTATATCCCCATTATCTAGCACCAGCATGAGATGTCTTGTTCCACTGACCCAACCTTCATTCTTCTGAGGTATCAAAAACCAAACAAACAACCCCACACGACTACACTTGGGACTGTGACATTTATTGAAGGCTGGTTATACAATCTCAAACCCATCACATCCTCCTCACGATTCAGGTTCCCTAAATAAAAAAAGCACTGATGTAACAGAGAATTCTGCCCACCTCTGGCTGCCTGAGCACTGAGTCCTCCCCTCCTGTCCCAGGAGCCCTTTGTGACAGGCCAAGAGCCACTTCTACTGACCTTGCTGAAAGAACCAATGCTGCACAACCAGGCACCTGGCAGCCAACAAATCAATGTGTGGCAGCAGGGGGAGAAGTAGAGATGTCCCATTGCCAGCATGCACCTGAGAAGTTATATCTTCTCCTCCATGCCTGAACTCCACCTGCTGCATGACGTGGATCTCTGCTAGTCTCACCCCCAGCCACGATTCACTCCACCTGTGCCTCCAGCTGTCAGTGCCAGTGTTCACAGGGGCACAGCAGAGCCACTGTCCTCATGGCTGAGATGTCCTCTTACTCTCAGCTGACATTTGAAGAAGACTGACTTGGCTGAGGAGTGAGCTCCGAGTGTCCCTGTTCCACAGTCCAGGATCTGCAAGTCTGTGAGGACCTTGGCTCAGCCAGCCTAAAGGCACGGAAGCATCGCTGCGAGACCAGATGGATCCAGCTCTCCTGGGGTCAGGGAGACACCTGGGCTACGTGTTTATCCCAGGAACAGATGAAAACTCTGCTCCTGTTGCTCAAACTGCCTGGAAAGGGGCAATTCTCAAAACCTAGCTTACTGGTCAGTGGAGCCACAGCTCTGACTGCAGACGGGAGGAATGCAGGTCTGTGTTCAAGAGCGCTCAGGTTTGTTTGATTAGTAATTCAAAAAAGAAGAAAAAAAAAAAAAAAAGGGTGGATTTTGAAATCTTCCCTGCTTTTATCAATCAGGAAATCACAAAGATTCTTTTGGAAAAGGGCTGATCTGGTGGGTAGAGGTGGTCAGGCTAGCTAGCTACGGCTGCAGGGCCGGGCTCACTGGGGCAGCTGGAGCAGCACGGACTGTCCCGAGGGCAGGTAGGTGATGTTGCGGGACCGCGAGAGCTGGTAGGCGATGTCCTCGGCTGCCTCCAGCTTCCGCAGCTCAATCAACCCATCCCCTGCAGTGGCCAGAGAGTTGGCAATCAGCTCAGCTGCTTTCGAGTCTCCCTCAGCAGAAATGACAGCTGCTTTCTTCTGCTGCTCAGCCTGGAAGGCAACAGATGAGAAGGGGAATAAGGAGCAGAGAAAACAAAAGGAAGATCACAGAATGGGGAAGGCTGGCAGGGACCTTAAAGATCATCAGGTTCCAACCTCCCTGCTATGAGCAGAGACACCTCCACCAAACCAGGCTGCACAAGCCTCATCCAACCTGGCCTTGAACACCTCCAGGAAGGGGCCATCCACAATGTCTCAGGGCAACCTATTCCAGTGCCTTCCTACCCTCATGGTGAAGAATTTCCTCCTGATGGCTAACCTAAATCTCCCCTCTTTCAGCTTAAACACATTATACCTTGTCTTCCCACTACCCTCTCTGGTGAAAAACCCCTCCCCAGATCCTACTGCTATGTTTCAAACATAAATTCCTACTTCATCACCCTACTGTTCTTTTCCCCAGTACGAGAGCTAAGACAGAAGGTCATTTTATTTTAATGCTATATTCTGTCAGACTGTTTTTCTGCATACTGTGAGAAAAAAAAAAAGTTGAGAAATTAACTCAAAATTGCCTTATCAGTCTTAACCTCATGAAACATTAACCCACCTAAGGGCACTCCTGGTGGAAAATTGTCCATGAAAGATTCAAGAACTTCAGCTGAGTTAAAACCAGGTCAGATAAGCACTTCTACTATTTAATCATCCTGGCTGATTACATGTATCTTACTGCATTCACTGGATTAACTCTGGGTGTAGCTGCCTGTTCCTGCAGCCTTCCCAGGCCTGTGTTCTCAGCTGGACCAGGGCACTTCCACATGAAATAATTTCTGGGGATGCTCCCTGAGTTCCCAGGTTAATCCCAGATTATGTGATCCTGCAGGCAGGCAGTGACACTCCTGGGACACAGGCCCCTGTCCCCATGATATCAAACACCATGGAAAGCTCTGCTCACCCTCTCAAAGTTCACAAATAGCAGGATCACTGGGGCTGGAAATCTCCACCCTGAATCCCATTTCTAACCAACACTCCCTCCTCTGTGCTGTTTCCTGCTCTGCACAGACATTTCTGTTCAGCACTCCAGTAAGACAGTGCCACGGTATTAACATCAAAAAGGACCCAGAAAGCCAACCTTAGGCTTTCTCTACCCAACAATCCTATGCCAGAGCTGAGAACCATGTCAGCATTATGACCCTAAGTGACTTTTTCAACCTGCCAAGTCTCCTGGATGAGTGAGTGAGATGCCCACTGCAAACTAGAACACAAAAGAGATACCAGGAAGCATCCAGGTTTATCAGAAGGACAAGGTACCTTTTCCACAATGAATCTGGCTCTCTCTGCTTCTTGCTGGGCCACTTGCTTCATTTCCACTGCCTCTGTGAACTCCTTGCCAAAGGTGAGATGGGTCTGCAGGGCAGAAATCAAGCAAAGGCTGCAGGGCTGACAGGACAGGGCAGCACTGCCCCAACCCACACAGCTCTTGGGGGAATGAATGAAACTCCAGTCTAGTAGACCAGTAACACCAGTACCTCCAGAGCCACACCATGTTCTCCTGCCACCACCTCTCCTCTCCCACAGCAGGGAAGCTCCCCTGCCTGCCAAGCCTCCCAACCCCCTTCCTGCTCCATCATGCACTGGAGTGTTAACCCCAGGCTGTTGGGAGAGCTGCAGGCTCCGGGGATGGGAGAGGGGAAAGGTGAATTTCCCTCAGTGCTCAGGGGAAAGCACCAGAAACAAAGAATCAAAACCTCAGGTTTTGCAGCAACAAAGTCACCTTCCTTCAAAGCCTTCAAAGC